CCATAGGAATATGTTGATCTAATCTCTCCAGAGTAGAAACCACCCCAGTAAAGCCCCTGAGGCCTGATTAGACCTAAGCCCCACCTGCTGGAACTCCACTCATAAAACTCTGCAGCAGCCCCACCCTAGTAGTGCGTGGATCTGGTCTGTGCAGACAAGCTCTCCAACTGACAGTACTTCCCACCCCATCCTACATCATACTAGGGAGAAGAGAAGCTGAGATTTATTTGAATCAGCTTCAGTCTTAGGCTACTTCAACTGGCAACTTAGTGAGAAACACAAAGAGAGACAGGGATTTGTGATGCCTGGCCCTTGTTCTTGCTGTCAGAACATTGCCCAAGAAGAAATGGAAAGAAAGACAGTCAGGCACAGTCAGTGTCCATCTATTCCCATTGACTACCACTGCAGTAGAAATGATTCCTTAATTTTTTTATTAATAATCTTTCTAATTTTCTTTCTTTTTTTCTTTCTTTCCTTTGTTTTGCTGTGCTGATTGGTTCATGAACATATATACATATACATATGTGTTTCTTTTTTCCTCATTTTTAGCATTTTTAAAATGTAGTTATTTTTCCTTGCCTTATCTTTTGAGGGTGAGGGATTTTGACTAGTATAATTTGGTTTTGTTTTATATTGTTTTTCATTTGTTTATTTCTCATTCCCTGTTTTCTTCTACTAACAGCCAAATTCTATTATTCTTTCTTTCATTCTCCCTTTACTTTGATATTTCTACTTTTTCCCCCTTCCTTTTAATCATTACATGCTACATCTCTTCTGTATTCTCTCTGTTCACTTTTTGAAATTATTTTCTACTATCATTTTCTTTTAATTAACTGTATTCTTACCATCTTTTAGCACTCATTGGTGTATGTAACTCCTTCCCCTACCATTAATGCTGTTGCAGTTATTACTGCTGTGGACAACATAGTTGAAAACTGTTGCTTTCTTGAATGCCATATATAGTTCATGGTTACTTATTGTTGTTGCAAATGGCAATTGCTGACCCTACCACTTCTGGGTTTTGTGGTGATTAACATTGTAGATGTCATAACAGGAACTAAGTATTTAATTTGATGTTCTATATTTTTTTGCTTTGGTTGTTGCTATTGTTTGTTTCACTCATTCTGTGAGGTGCTGGGAAGCTACAAGAACACTACAATTTCACAGGGTAGAAACCCTGCTACTGAACTAAACCTCAACCAAAGGACAGCACACCTTGCTCCACACACAAATTAATGACTCAACCTTCAGTTGTACTTTAATACAAATAATAGAAGAGATTAAAAACCCAAGCTAATGACCAGGCTCCAAATGGAAACAGCTAGGGCTGGCTCCCAGGTCCCACCTATGGACATCCATTGCTACAGCAAAAACAGAGAGAAATAAAGGCTGTGTTCGCCACACCTAAGAGGGGAATCTCAATCCAGATTATTCTAGGACACTTTGGGAAGTGAAGACTGTGCCCTACAAAAGTCCACACTTGAGAGTGGAAGAGAAATCCTTTCCAAACAGAAATCCAACAGAAATCTTGGAAATAAAACACAAAATAAATAAAATAAAATATTCAGTTGAAAGTCTGTCTAATAGAGTAGACCATGCTGAAGACAGACTCTCAGACCTGGAATACAAAGTGGCTAGCGTTAAACATTCAGACAGTATTAAAAAAAAATGTCATCATTATAAGAATATACAAGATTTCTGGGGCAACATGAAGAGACCAAATTTAAGAATCACTGGAATTGAGGCAGGCTATGAGATACAGGCTAATAGAATGGATAAATTATTCAGGGAAATAATAACATAAAAGTGTCCAAACCTTCAGACTGAGATGGACATCCAGAACTCCAAGCAGAGAAGATTGAAAAAGAACCTCTCCATAAGACATTTTAATTAAAATGCCTAACACACAGAACAAGGATAAAATTTTAAAAGCCTCAACATAAAAACATCAAGTCACATTTAGAGCCAACCCAATCAGAATCACTTTTGATTTCTCAGCATACACTCTACAAGCCAGGATGGTTTTGGAACAATGTATTCCAGGTCCTAAAAGAAAATAACTGTCAACCAAGATGGCTGTATTCATAAAAACTATCCTTCAAAATCAAGGAAAACTAGAAACCTTTCAAGATAAGCAGAAACTAAAAGAATTCATGACTACTAAACCAGCACACATAACTTACTTAAAATACTACACACACAAGAAATTAAAAAAAATAATAAACCTCAAAGCTCACACAAGAAAAAATCTCATTTGAAGAGTAGCTAAGCAAATTAGTAACAGGGCCAAATTAAATATGATAAATAAATCAAAATGGCAGGAGTCAATAAACATCTCTCTCTAATAATGTTGAATGGAAATGGTCTTAACTCTCCAATTAAAAGACATAGACTGGAAGAATGTATTTAAAAAAAAAGATACAACTATATGCTGCTTGCATGAAATGCACTTTATAGACAGCCACAAGCTGAAAGTGAAAGGATAGAAGTTGATGTACCATGTGAAAAGAATCCCCCAAAAGCAGAAGTAGCTACTTTCATATCTGACAGGAGATTTCACACCAAAATTAATCTACAGAGACAAAGGAGGTCAGTTCATATTGGTAAAGGAGCAATCCAACAAGAACAAATAAAAACAATAAATAATTAGCCCCAAATGTGGGTACAACTAATTTCATAAAAGAGGTGCTACTCAAATTGAAGCCCTAATACTACTGGGTGATGTGAACACAACTCTCTACCATTAATAGTATGTATTACACATGTTCCAAATTCAGGGCTAAATAAATAGAATGTTGAATCAGTAATGTGAATTTTAAAAATAATTCTGGAATTGTGGAGTACAAAAGAACTTTATCTTTTCAAATTTCTAGCTACTACTGATGGAGGAATTAGGCCAGGAAGAGGCAAGTAACTAGTTCAGGTCTTCAAATAAACAGTTCTCAAGCACACCTGTGATCCGGCAACTTGGGAGGCTCAGGCAGGAGGATCACAAGCTCAAGGGCAGCCTGGCCAACTTAGTGAGACCCTGTCTGAGAATTAAAAAAAAAAAAACATAGAAAGGACTAAGGATGTAGTTCAGTGGTAAAGCGTGCCTGAATTCAATCTTCAATACAAAAATAATTTTTTTCTCAAAAAGGAAAAGTTACTTTAGCATGATATGAGATCCATTATCCATTTTTTTTTTAAAAAATTATTTTAGTTGTAAATGGACACAATATCTTTTTATATATTTATTTCTATGTGGTGCTGAGGATGGAACCCAGTGCCCCACACGTACAAGGCAAGCATTCTACCTCTGGGCCCACAGCCACAGCCCATCCATTTATTATTAAGTAATGTTGGAACTTATGCAATTATTGCCTAAGGAAGGTGAGTAAGGTGAGTCTTTCACTGTGAAATGGAGGTTGTATCAGCATGGAAGGCCTCACTGCAATCCTGACAAATTCACCCGTGTGATACTGCCCTAAGAACAACTTTGGGCAGAAGTTTTCAAGAAGAGTTGACACACTCTTTGGACAAGAAAATTTGGGAGGGACACATCACTTGAAAACTAAAATAATGCTTTGTCACAATGTTATGATTTATTTTTGAGCAATTTATTCACTTTTAGAAGGAAATTCAAAGAATATTAAGGCTTCTCCTTTGAAGAAAGCAAGCATTTTTGAGACATAATTTAGCTAGTTTCCTTCTTACCTTCTTATATACAATCACCCCTTTTGGGGGAACTAATCATTTATTCTGTTAATAATTATTGACCACTTCATATTCTAGGCACAATAGTAGCCTCTAAAACGTATAAGGTTAAAAACTTGAGCTGACAAAGGGAGATTAGTGGAGGAAAGGATCAAGGACTGGGAGGGGAAAGGGAGGGAGGAAGTGCTAGGGAGTGATATTGCCCAAATTATATTGTTATAGTCTGTGCATGTATCAATACGTAACAACAAATCCCATCATTATGTACAACTATAATGCACTAATAAAAATCACGTAGAAGAAGAAATTCTTGAATCCTGGGGGAATTTATTGATGGAGACATTGTTGTGTTAATATTATTGGTCCAAATTTTCCTTTGCCAGCTACATTTTTCATTAGAAAATGTATATGGTTCTTGTGTTTTGAATAAAAACAAAGTGATAGAAATCACAAAAAGCATTGTACTTCATTTGTTCATTTATTCAGAAAGTATTTATTAAGCACCTACCAGGTACCAGACACTGAGCTAGGCGCTTGGGATACATCAGTGAGTAAACATCCCGCTTTTGCACAGATTACATTCTAGTGGGTGAGACTAACAGATACAACAATGAAAAATATGAAATAAGTAAATTACAGAGCTGGATAGAAGGTGATGAGTAGTGTTTGGAAAAAGAAGAGTCAGAAGACTTTCTTGTGGAAAGCAGATAAAAGCAGAAGGTGTAATTTTAAATAATATAGTCAAGAGATGCCTCATTGTGAAGGTGATTTCCAAAAAAAGTCTTAAATGTAGTTTTAATAAAAATCCAGGGATTAAGGTAATCATAGAATTTGATTTCTAAACTCACTTGACATCTGTTTTGTTATGTATATTATGTAACATGTGATGGTAAAATCAAAGTCAAAAATCCAGCTTCGGGTTCTTTGCTTTTCAATCAGCTTTGATTTAAACAAGGAAGGGTGTTGTCACTCTGTTTCCTATTCTCTAATTAAATAAAACAAAATTATTTCATAGGATTTTGGTTTTATCAATGGTAAGAATGAGGTTTGCTTTGAGAATTTCCTCTTATGAGCCCATAGCAACATGTAGCATAATTTCATATCCTTCATTTTTTCTTAGAAATACAAAAATCCATTTTTTATACTGCCATTTTTAGAAAGACTTAGATGAATTTGGGCAACAAATAAACTGATTTTTTTCCTTTGAATCATAAATTCAGATGAGAAAGCATTTTTTTTTCTTTTTTTAACATTCTTCATCAAGTTTAGTATGACTTAAAAATAGAAGTATCTGTTTCTTCCAGATTGTGTTCCTGGTATCTGCATATGTAAGTCCCCAACTCACTGAGGACAGCTGTTCAGCCATGGCTGCCATCACACATTACCTGTATCTTTGCCAGTTTAGCTGGATGCTCATTCAGGTTGGTACCTCAGTCCACTCCCTACTCCCTTCTACCTCGCCAATAAATCTGGACAAAGTGGTCTTAGTATGACATTCTTTATACTGAAGTGGAAGTAATTCAATATAGTCATCATTGCATTTCCAGAATATGTTAAAAAAAAAAAAGTCCCTAGAAACTGTCTAACATGGTGACTTTATAAAATGAGAGAAATCTAGTAGGATTTGAAACAAGAAATTGGTAAAAGATGAGGCTTCCAATACAGTTCATGTATTGTGAAATTTTAATTTTTTTCTGGGGGGAAGTAATAGAATTCTATTAAACAAGGAAGTGATGTGATACAATTTGGATTTTTTAGGTATGTCCCTGTCTGTAATGGATGTCCCTGTTTGTTTTTTGTAGACAGGAAAGAATGGATGGTGGTAGTGAGCCAATTACATAGCATTGGCTGTAACCAAGAGAGAGAAAAAAAAGTAGTGTTTACTAGGGAGAGAACAGTAGAAATAAAGATAAATAACTAGTTTGGATATTAAAAAAATAATGTATTACTTTAGGATGTAGAGGTTGGTTATAAGGAATGCAAAAGGTGAAAACTGGGGTGTTTCCCAAGTTTCTGGCATGCATATGTGGCCTAAAACTATGATCGCTGGAGAAGGAGAGATAGATGGCAAGTTTAGTTTGGGACATGCTAAATGTGAAGTCCCTGTGAGCCCTCTAATAGGATCTTTGGCAGGGGGAGATCTTTGAGGCCTCTATGGTGTACTATAGAAATGCACTAGAAAATAGTTGACTTTGAGTTGGAAAATGGAGCCATTGCTCAGGAAGGGATCACCTGGGGAAACTATATAGAATATGGCCAAAAAATACCCCACAAAGCCTCCTGAGGAATTTATTAATGTTTGGGGAGAGATCTAAACACTCCTTTTCTGACTGAGATTGCAAGTTCTATTATTCTATACTGGTTTGTTTGACAAAGAATTGGACCATAAATAGTTATTAATGTTGTTAATTAAATGTCTCATCTAAAATGCTGCCTTTTATAATGTGTTTTGCACAATGGAGTTGTTAAATCATTTTGTGATAGAAATGGTCTCATGTGTTTCTCTCTGTGCATGTGAACTGTTTATGTACACAGAAACATGTAGGCTCTTTTATATGCTTTTTGTCATTATCATTGAATAAGAAAGATGTTGGGTTTGATTGTATAGCAATATTGAATTAATGATAAAAGCAGAAAGAAAGTGAAATGGTATTATTATGAAAGAAAACCATCCAGGCTCTGGATGGGATATTTTCCCAGGTATGATGAGATAATGGGTGGAGGCTGAAGGAGAAGAGAGCTGAACTATTTAGTTAAGAGAACTAATTAGAACAAGTGGTGCCTTAGATCTGGGTTTGAATTCATTACCACTGTCCATGTAAGCTTAATCAAATTAATAACTCCCTGCAAGGTTTGCTTCTAAATTTGCATATGGAGATAATAATTTCTAACTCATAGAATTAGTGTTTTACAACTCTTTGAGCAGCTCTAATCATGGAAAATATGTAGTGTTCTCCAACACACCCTCAAAAAAATAAGAAATAACAGTAAATCTAAATCATATAACATACAGCGTAAATATGAAATTAGAATAAATCTCCTAGATTTTTTCGTCTCAGAATTCTTTAGGTTTTAACTAAGCAAAACTTCAGTATGTGCCTAGTAGTTCTAATAAGTGCCCACATATCTTCTGGAATGGAGTTCCCAGGGTGTGCTGAAAGTCTTTGTCCATGTCCCTGACCTATTCAGAGTTTTTGATTAATGACTTGCATGAAAACACAGGAAACCACTTATCAGATTTACAAATGACACAGAGTTGAAAGGATAGTTAAAACAACAAGCTGCCTGCATTAAGATTATGGCAGAACAAACAGAGAGAAACAGTACTGATAGATGGAACACTGGAGAGGAAAAGATGTTATCTGATGAAATTTAATGTAAACAACTCAAGATTTTAATTTAACATAAAATCAGTAGCAATCAGATATGTGACCAGGACACCTCACAGACTTAGGCCCTTGGATAACAGTATGGAGGCAGCTGTGGCAACATTTTAACCTACAGTGTTCAGTCTACTTGGCACACAGTAGCCACTCTCATGTCATGTTTCAGCAAGATGGTCTGCCATCCAGTGAGAGACTCTTCTTTATTTCTTTCTTTCCTATAAGAAACTTCCAGGCAGCTAGAGATAGTGAATGGGGAAAGAATTGGGGGAGGGGTCTATAAACAGCAGAAGGTTTACTACAGGACAAAAAAGGTGGACTAGGTAACTATACTTGGCAGAAACAGAACAAATGGGTCAAAAATTAGGGAAACAATATCAGTGGAGTAGAAGAACGGGATTGATGGGGAGGGAGGAGGGATGGCATAAAGAAAAGACAGGAGAAGCAATCTAACCTAACTTTCCTGTGTGCATGTGTGAATATACACTGAATCTCACCATCATGTACATCCACAAGATACTAATTTTTTATAAAAATAACTGTAAGTAAATAGCAGAAAGATCAGTAGAGGAAAGGGAATGAGGGATGAGGAGAGAAAAGAAAGGAGATAAATTAAGGACTGAATTAGAACAAATTATATGCCATGCATTTATAATTATATCAAAGTGAATCCTAATGTTATATATAACTAATATGAACCAATGAAAAAATGGGGAAACAAATTTTGATTCATCTTTAGCACTTTCATAGCCAATATAACTGCCAAAAGTTAGAGATGACTAGAAGTAGAGTGAATCCAGTCACTAAAATATATATGTTCAGAGAGATTACCAACTTTCAACATGTTTTAGATGTATTTCCTGCCTTAAGGGAGTTTTAAACAAGACAGTATAAAAACTTTCACCCAATTTAATGGCAATTGGTATCTTCTTTATCTTTTCCTCTTAAATTTGATTGTGGCTGATGTACATTCAGTACATTAATTAGATTTCTGTATGGTTTATGGTTTATGGTTTAGGAAATCTATTTGAAGTGCCAGTGAAGTTTAATGTATTTCAGATGGTGCACCACATTTTTCATGGTTTGTGGTGTGTCCACAAGGGAAAATTCAATAACTTCTGTATTCTAGGCAGGTTACTTTTAATAAGTTATTTTGTGGTTCGAGGTTGTCACTTTACCAACCTATATTTTCCCATTTATAAAATGCTGAGTGCTAAAATCTTTCCTGGTTTTTCTTTTCTTTCCTTTCCCCATCCTTTCCTTCCCTTTCCTTCCCTTCCTTTCCCCTCCCTCCCTAACTCCTTTGCTTTTCTCTCTCTCTCTCTCTCTCTCTCTCTCTCTCTCTCTCTCTCTCTCTCTCTCTCCATGTGTGTGTCTCTGTCTCTCTTACTCTCTTTCTCTCTTTCTGTCCCAAGAATTGAACCCAGGGATGTTGAACCCCTGAGCCACATCCCCAGCCCTTTATATGTTTTGCTTTTGAAATAGGACCTTGCTAAGTTGCTGAGGCTGGCTTAGAACTTGCGATCCTCCTGCCTGAGCCTCCCAAGCCACTGGGATTACAGGCGTGCACTATCATGCCCAACTTGGAATCCATTTTTAAAACATCACATAGGAGGCCGAATTATTGTCAGTCTATGACTGTTAGTCAAATTAAGTTGAAAAAATATTAACACTTTAATGATTTTACTTCATAGTTTTAGTCATATAGGAAGGAATCTGGTTCAATGCCTGTGAGTGCATAGTTTGTAATGATAAGTTAATCATTAATTTATAATATTTAGCTTATGTTTGTCAGAATTATTAATGTTTATTTTTAATCTGCATTACACCTTCACATTTAGAATAAATGCATATAAGTGACCTTATTTTGAAAAAAATATTTTTTTTTTACTGAGCATTGAACCCAGGGGTGCTTAACCACTGAGCAACATCCCCAGCACCCCCCCACTTTTTAACATATATTTTATTTAGAGACAGGATCTCAGTGAATTGCTAAGTGCCTCCCTAAGTTGCTGAGGCTAGCTTTGAACTCACAATTCTCCTGCCTCAGCCTCCTCAGTCGCCAGTGGGATTACAGACGTGCACCACTGAACCTCATGTGAAAATTTATTTTATTTTTGTATAATATCTTTTTAATACCATTATAGTAAAGGTGGATTATATTTTAGAGTAGCTAAAGGAAAAAAATATGGGTAAACAATTTACATAACCTCTCTAATCCTAGGTTTTCTTATCTGATAAATCAGCTTGCAATAACAGTAGCTCTCTTTGAGAACAGTGGAAAGATTAAAGAATTTCTACATGGAAACAGCTTACAATGCTGCCTGGCACAAACTAAACACTCCATTCTCAAATTATCAGTTAAGCTAATTGTCGGGCTAAAATATCAGAGACTTTGAAACTTCACTTTCACAATGTAATTTAGACCTTTTTTACAGAAGAGACTCAGTTTGACACAGTGGAAAGAAGGCTGACTTTGAATGAAGCAGACACTAACTAGCTGCTAAGCCTTAGCAAGCTGGATAATCTCTAACCTCTTTATTAAAGTACATGCACGACTCATAGCAGGCTTCCTAACTGAGGGCCTTGATTCTTTTTCAGGCTTCCATTTTCTTTAACAGGAAAGCATACAGTGCACAGTGGGAATCTAGTAACAAAATATTTTGCTTATTTTGTTTTAAAGCAAACAACTCCCAAATTCATGTTTTGGCCATGGAAGTTGAGTTTTCCTTCTGTTTGCCCTTCATATAAGACCACTCAGTGGAATTATGGAAATCATTTTCCACTTCCTTAAGACCACAGGGTCATGTTTACTTTAAGAAAGACTGACGGGCTGGGGTTGTGGCTCAGTGGTGGAGTGCTTGCCTGGCATGTGTGGGGCACTGGGTTCGATTCTCGGCACCACATATAAATGAATGAATAAAATAAATGTCCATCAACAACTAAAGAAGAAAAAAAGAAAAGAAAAAAAAAAGATTGACAATGAGAGTTTTAAAATCTTGCACCATCTTTATTTCACTAATTGTTTTCTTTTCAGT